CTGATACATCTACTATATTGCCCAAACAAGTGTTTGGTTTTTTTCTTAAGTATTTCAGAAATAGGTTGCATCTCATAATTGGTGATAGTTTCGAATTAACTGCCTGCCTGTGTGCGTGTGTGTGTGTGTGTGTGTGTGTGAGTGTGTGCCTATGTATATACTCATTCATATATGTGTATACATGCAGGCTTGTTTATGTATATTCTGCACACAAAAGGCAATATATATTTGTATTAATATATAAAGTTGTGCACTTTTACATTAATTACCTCTTTCTCTAAGAAAGTGTGTTAGCATAGAACATGGTGAACATAAAACCAAATTGAGAATATAAAGTCCAGGTATGTTCCTTTAGGTAATAGCACATAGTGATAAGATTATTACACAGATATTTAAATGGTAAGCATTTAGTCCCGGTTTTTTCATTAACAGAAGTTACTACACATCCTTAGCTTTAATTTCATAAATTTTAATAACATTTTTTGAAATTCATTTCTTAAAAATTATTCATTGATTCCATTATTTTATTCCATCTGACCTGTCTTAAAATACGTAGCCTGTTTGCTTTACTCACCTATGATGCTTTAGCTGTTCTAAAGGTACAGTTGACATGGTACCACACTAGAATTACTGAAGGTAAAAACAATAAAATTTGAGTGCTTTACTGTAGGTAATTGGAAGCAAGTTGTGCTAGGAAGCACTGGTCTTTTGGAGTCAGGTAATAGAGATCTATCCTAATTAAAATAATCAGTGGCTGTGTGATTTGGAAAAACTTTCCTCTTTGACTCTCTTACAAACTACTTACTATTTATAAAATGAAAGTTCAGGTTTGATGATCTCTAAAGTTTTTTTCTGTCTTATTCTGCTCATTATTTTATTATGAAAGCAATTTTTGCCTCCCAAAGTTGCTGTTTCTTACCTATTCAAACATTAAGAAAGTGAGTGTGCCACTCTCCAGAAAGCTTCAAAGCTCCAACTTCTCTTCTGCATAGTGGGAGGAGTTACTAGTCCTGAAGGCAGGGGAAATGAGTTCAGACTAACCTTAAGAGAAAGCTTGCTCAGGACTGATCCAGTCAAAACAGATGGAAGAGAGACTCTTCTGAGACTCAAATCATATTTCTCATACCAAAAAGGCTCCCACAATGGGACAATTTATGGGAGTCTATACTCAATATGAGGTATCACACTGAAGGGGGGGGACAAACAAATCCCAAACCAAACAACCTCCCAACAATAACAACAAAACCCCTCAGCTCATTGCCCTTGAGTCTGAATCATTTGTAGCGGACCCTCCAGTGGGTTTTCAGAGGTTGTAAATCAAATGAAAGTTGCTTTTTCATCTTTCTCCAGTATAGTGGCTGGTGGATTTGAAAAGAAGGCTCTCTGTAATGAAATATCTGATGTGAGATTATAATAAATGGTATTATGAGTAGATTTTAAAATTTTATTAAAAATCAAGCTAACAGAGACCAGAAATCAAGATTTTTTAGTTTTATGGTTCAGTAAAATTTACCTATTAAATAGTTATCAAGTTAGATTGATATAACAACAATAAAAAAATTATAAATTGTGCTGCAGTTCTGAAAGGCATGAAGTTTGAATCCATTAGCTACTCTGCAGAGAAGGATGGACAATCTTCTCCCATTGATTAACTGCCTCTGAAAACCCGCCAGAGGGCCGGCTATGGGTCAGGTCTGACTCAATGGCACACAGCAAGAACAACTTAGCATTTAAGTGAAAAGTTTTTAACAACAAAATATTTAAAACATGTAATCTCAGGATAAGGACTTCTATGAACTGAAGGGATTTTCTTTTTTCAATAATTCACTACAATAATGGCTATATCTTGCTTTTTTTCTTATTTTATTACAGGCTCTGTATTTTTAAGTCATGTCATTAAAGAGATGTTCAAATTAGTAATTTTATTTGCAAATTTTGTAGTAAACTTTTAAAAAGTAATAATTGGAAATGATTTCATAGTCTAGTATTTTGGAGGATAGTTGTTTTGTTTGTACTTTAAACGTAAAGAAATCGTGAACTTCAGAATAGTTATTAAAATGAGATTGACTACTAAGATGAGTTTGAGGAGTTTTTATAACTAGTGTGAGCTTTCTTAAAAATTATTTTTATTTCACTTATAATTGACATACAGACAGAAAGCATGAATAACACTTAGACACATTGTTCAGCCCAATTATCTCCTCAAGTTCTAGAAAGAGGAATTGACTGGCTGAAGGATTCTGTAATAAAGCTATGGTGTCCTGATTCCATGGTGAATGATCTTCCTCTGGCTTCCTGCTAACTCTAACCTACCCAACAGAGCCATTGTGCATGTGTATGAAAGTGCTATTAGCTGCATTATTTTCTAATTACAAAAAGGTAGTATTTACTACTGTTAATTCTTTTTTAAAATTTTATTTTATTAATTTTAATGAACATTTACAGAGATTGTGGATTTCCATTCATTCATTGTTGCACCTTTTTCTCTACCCCTCCCTCCAGTTCGGTCCTCTCTTTAAAACTTCTTCATTGGTATACCACCCCCCACCCCGAACGCACTCCACTATGCAACCTTAATTCTGGATTCCTGTGATAATCATAATACCCTATCATATATCACTTTTAAAATGCTCTCTCCTTCATCCCCTCATCTGTTTCAATTAAGTATATATAATCTATCCAGTTTTTCTCAGTCTTATCCCAACCCTGATGTCAGTCCCATTCTACAATAGTGGCACTATGCCGTATTTGTCTTTTTAACTGTTAATTCTTGAGTAAAGACATGACATTATGAAAATGGCTGTTTATCCCAGTTGGATAGATGTAGGATAGAACTGGAGTGAAATGAAAGCCAAGAGAGTCACAGGTGTTACATTGGTTCAGACAAAAGATGTAAAGGGTATTAAATAGGCAGTAATTAAAAAATTAAGTACGGGGCGTGGGGATTGCAAAAGTTAACACTTGCAAGGGCAAAACTTCAATTTGAACTTAGCTTCAAGAATTTGAAGAATTTTATTATTAATAAACATTGAAGAATTAGACTGTAAAACTAAGGTGGAAGGAAATAAAAAGTAATATTAAAAGTATATACATGTTATAAATTGTTAATCACCCTTTTACTGAAGTATCCTCTTGATTACTGAAAAGTAAAAAGTAGATTTTGAAATAGTAATCAAAGCTCTGGAAACACAAATACTGGCTTATCAATTTCATCTGAAAAATAATGTCTGTAGAGAAAGAAAAAATGTACATGAAATATAAAATCATCTTGTAAATAGTGCAATTAATTCTCAAAAGGAAAATAGTAAAAGTCACCAAAATATGAATAAAGACTTGCTAAAGAATTTAAATAATAAAATGAGTGGGGGAAAGTCCCAAAATAATAGGAATGATCAGGATATGGATCAAAAAATCAAATGGTGTGAGTAAATAGTCTAAGTGTTAGAACACATCTAAGTATTAGAACCTGTAGGTGCAGTCTGAAAGTGGTCAGTTTAGAAAACTTTCTAGGCAATGAAAAACAAACAGACAAATAAAATAGAACCACATTTCCTGATTTTCAGTTCATTCCATATCATGATGACTTCATATGTGGCAAAGAATCAAGCTCCATTAGTCTCATTCTTGTAATCTTTCTAGAAATGGGTCACTAGGCCTTATTTTGCAGCACCACCAAACTTTCAATAAGTAATGTAGTGTTGAAATGTTTGTGACACTTGGGAATCTTCAGTAGAAACAAAAAAGCAAGCGAAATAGAATCTAAGGAAAGAAGGGATTCAGAATAATGGAATGAAGATGTGTTGTTGTTGTTGTTATGTGCCATCGAGTCGCCTGCGACTCACAGCGACCCTATGT